CCCCAAAACCCCAAAACCCCAAAACCCCTAAGGAATCAATAGCTATTAATGATAGAATAAATTGACGATTAACTTGATTTTGAAATAGTTAATAAATGATAGTCTCTGTTTGAGGTACTAATGCTTGCTCATTTGTGCATCTTGCATTCAACAACAACCTTGCCGTTGACGTTGTCTCCAACTTTGGCGGACCAGAATTCTCTGATGAGGTTTCTGTCTTCCTCGTTGTCGACGGAAAGTTCTCTCTTTTGGTAGTATTCGAATTGTGGGTGATCGATCATTTGTTGTGGGATACCCTTGCCTCTGAAAAGCCAGACTGACTCAATGTCGAGGTTTGGCTCCTCTCCAACAATAGCCATCATGGAGAAGGTGTGTCTTCTGAAGCTATCGATTCTTTGGAGGAATCCGTTCATGAGGTTTGAGGTTTGATAGAGAACAACACCCTCACCTTCGTACTTTTCGTACTTGGCGTAGAAGAGGCTATATCCTTCTCTGTCGTAGTTGGCGAAGAAGTGGTCCATACCTTCACCTCTCTTGTCTGGAAGATTAACGAAGTAGGTCTTGAAGGTTGGGAGATCGAACTTGGTGGGTGGGAGTTCATCGAGTGGGTCGACTTCTTTCTTTGGTGCAGCAACTGCTTCAGTCTTCTCAGCGGCTTTCTTTTCTTCTTTCTTTTCTTCCTTCTTGGGTGGGGCAACAGCTTTCATTGGCTTGGCGCAGAATTTGACGTGACCGAGTCTTGAAACAACTTCTGGGAGGGCAACGAATCTGTCTAACCAGGCAGTAACGTTGGGGGCAACTGACTTTCTGAATCCACCATCGAGTACTGTTTGGAATGGAAGGAGAAGGGCAACTGCGACGACAACATCAGCAACAGTAAGTCTGTCACCAACGAGGTAGGTCTTTCCTTGGAGGTGGGTGTTAAGTGATCTAACATGCTCCTTAAGATCCTTAATAGCGGTGTTGAAGGTCTCAGTTTCAACGACTGCATGTCCGAAAACGGCATATACGATAGTTCTGAGGTGTGGGATGAGGTTTGAGTTTGAGAAATCGCAGAATTGGTCAACTTGAGCAGATTCGAAAGCTGAGTTGCCTGAGAGTCCCTCACTTGAGAGTCTTCCGATGTATCTAGCAATTGAGGCTGACTCAACGAGGTTACCGTGTTCGGTCTCGAGGAGTGGGAACTTGCCAGTAAGTGATTTAGCCTTGAAGTCCTTTGACTTGGCTTCTTCTTCTGAGACAAGAACGACGTTAAGGTCAACCTTGGCGAACTTGGCAGTGAGGACAGCGATGTCGGAGAAAAGGTTTCCGTTGTGGTTGTTGTAAAGTTTCTATATAAAAGAGAGTGTTTAGATTATGCGTAATGAAGATATTTTGATTATGTCTTACCATTTGTAGGTTAGGGTTATTATTTAATATAATAACTAATCATGCTCGTGTTAATAGATATACAAAACAGAACCAATCATGAATTCTTAATTCCTTAATTACATTTTAATCCAATATAAAGCAAGAATATATTGCAATGGGGTTTTGGGGTTTTGGGG